TATATATATATATATATATATATATATATATATATATATATATATATGACAATTAGTGAAGTGAAATATGTGTTCCTATGATTTAGGAGCATAAAGAATTACAAATTATATGAATTATAATATATGATGACAAAAAGTATGTGTATATCAGTTAAAATTTTAGCAAAATGTTCAAAATATGAATTGCAGTTCATTCAATGAGTTATGTATAACATCTTTCATCTGTCAAATAACTGATCAACATATTTTGCCAGAAGGACAGAATAATTAACCAAAATAGAACTCAAATTCCAAATGCAGGAACAGAGGTCAGAATCAGCAGAACTCATTAATGGGGTATTGTAGTCTTTTCATGTAGATTTAAGCAAAAGGGTGAAACTCAGAGCTACAAATTGGTTCAGATCTTTACAAGATAATAGTGTTGTTTACAAAATACAATTACCATTCCTATGTATACCAGGAACTATTTCAAAGGTGGTTATAGCTTTTATTGTAAAACAATTTACACATTCTCAGCACCTCAGAGATTTTATCCAGTAACTAATACAATTTTTGCATTTTTCTGTCTTACTTCCTGTGAGATTAATACTGCCATATATTGTATGAAATTAAAATACATTTCTTTCTTGTTACCACATCAATATATCTGATGACCAACACAGATAATATGAATTTTGAAATCTATGTGTATTGCTGGATGTGCAATACCATTCTTAAAATCGGGGAATAACTAGACTTCTTTGGACCCCAGTCAATCTTTATATATTGTCATTCTAATGTTACTCATCAGTTAAAGAATACTGGATAATTAGAAAATGCGGGAACTTTTACTGATGCATGATGGGAAGGGGAGAAAAAAAGGAAGATAAGAAAGCCATGAGGCAATTGTAGGGGTCAACATACTGATTCTGTAAACCACTTAGAAAGGACTGTAAAGCACTATGAAGTAGTATAGAAGTCTAAGTGCTATTGCTATTCAAACAGAACCCAACCATGTTTAATATGAGGGGTTTTTTAACCTTGCCCCACAAATGTCTGCTTATGCAAGAGAGTTGTGTGAAATAAAACAATTAAATATTTACATGTTGTGGTAATTGAAAAGAATGTAATCATTTGCTATTACAAATAAGAACACTGCATATTTGGAATATTTAGATTACTGGACGTTATGCTTTAAAATCCCTTCTCTTCTCTTTGTTCCTTAACCTCCTAGAACACAATTTTACAAAAGGTACCCAGTTTTACCTGATTTTACTGCATATAGAAGTGTAAACGTTTTGTCTGTGTGCATTCGTAGCTATATCACTTACCACAGTTACAGCATCATTCAAGAGAGATTCCCCAAAAACTAAGATATACAGCTGCTCGTTGACATGAATATTTTCAAAGACAGCCAACACAGCCACAGGATCCACGGCTGAAATCAAACTCCCAAAAAGTAGGCTCTGCAGTAGAGTGATGTCACTCAGACCAAAGGCCTCAATCTGGCAAATGGCAAAGAGGGAAATGCCAATGCCAAGAGAATTCCAGAGTGTGCCCACAACAGCATACCAAAAAATGGTGCCGAAGTTCTCAAAGAAGAGGCGTGTGGGCATAAAATAACCAGCGTCGAGGACAATTGGAGGAAGAAGATATAAGAAAAAAACATCGTTCTTCATCACTGGTGGAGATTTTTCCTGTGCCCCAAATATAATTCCACCTAAAATCAGTCCAATCACAATAAGGAGACAACTTTCTGGAACTATCTGCGGCAATTTGTAGTAGAGATGAAAACCTTCAAATTAATGGAGGAAGAAAGAGAAAGAGAAGAAATATTATATTGTGACAAAAAAAACCTTATGATATTATACTTAACATATTAAGGTTGTTTATTCTTGTATTTAAACCATTCCCTTTCTTGCATTTTTATAAACATACAATTAAACTCTCAAAAGAAAAAAGAAATCAGCTAACCCACATACTCTTCATTTATTACAAGTGGCATAAAACCAATCCAACTAGAAACTTTCTATGAGCAAAATCTGCAAGAAAGAATTAGCCTGTTAGGTAAATTTTATCTTATTTTATTTGTACTCTACCATTATTATTTTTAGAAATAACCAGCTTGGAACTCGTGAGATAACTTTATTTTCCATGATTCGATACCAATGCTTTAAAACTTCTTAGATAAAATGATTAATTCAGATTTTAATTGATCTTGTAGTTTTGCAAAAGGTTCCTTTAAAGGATGGTGCTTTAAGATTTTTAGCCAAGAAATATAGTATTTTGCAAATGTCAACGTTAAATAAAAAGTTCAGTGGAATGGTTCATTCTTTGGAAAGATAATTCTGTATACTAGGGTTGCAGACGAGCCTGGGAAGTTCAAAAAAGCATCCCAGAGAAAGGCAAAGGCATTTTTGTGTGCATATTATTGCAAAAAAACTAATGGATATTCCCATGAATTCATTTGGAGTCCCTTACAATGATTGGCCCATGAATGAGTATCTATGGAAATTCTTAGTACTCTATGTCATGCTGTCCCAAAGGTGCTTTTTCAAAAGTCAACTGGATTTTGTTTTTCCTTGAAGGTGTTTTACTTCTCTGACAGTTCTGACAGAACTGAAGAAGCTTCTTGAATGAGAAATGAAATGTCTTCAAGAAAAAAACAAAAGCACATTTGCAACATTCTGAATGAGTCAGTTTCCTTAAGCAGGTATGAACTAGGTAACATTCTATTCATTCATTGGATGCGCCCATATGCACACAAGAGTCTCACATTTCATTACAGACTTTGGGACTCCCTGCTTTTTCTCTGACAGATTGAGAAAAATATGTAGAATAAGGGGATCTGGAGGAAAAGAGAAATCACAGCCTACATCTCACACAATTCGAGATATCAGTCCTATCAGTAGATGGAACAAGATCTACAGGTATTTCAGGCACCACTTTAGGTTACTGGAAATAATATGGGCTATTTGGACTATGAATGTATTCAAATCAGAAGAATGAATTAGTGTCTTCCCTATGAAAACTTATGTTTCTAGTGTCTGAGTGAATAATTTTTGTGTGTGTATAAAAATAGACAAGCAAAAAATGTATTAAAAGATAGGGAAAAGTCAAGGAAAAATGATAAAGGAATGAAAAAGTAAAACAATAGAAAAAGACTAATTTCCCACTTTTTGATACAGATATAGATTAAAAATACATCAAATTATTACTCTAAAATTACCAATATTCCATATTATTTCTAAAACCCCATATATTCCAAAATCACAATTTCATTTTTTTTTCACATTCTCACACAAAAAGTCCAAAAGTGCTCTCCAGGTAAAGTTATAAATTAGTCAAATTTCATCTTTAGTCAAAGCTGTCAATTTCACCATTTCCACCTATTCTATCAGCTCACCCATCTATTTTTTCATTGTAGGTATTTGTAAGTCTTTACATTTGTGTACATACATAACAATCTTGTCACTGTTATCATGTATAAAAATAAAGATATTTTAATCTGTTTGTACATTAACCACAAAGGAAAGTATAGAATAGAATAACAGAGTTGGAAGAGACCTTGGAGGTCTGCTAGTCCAACCCCCTGCTTACACAGGAAACCCTACAACAAATGGTTATCCAACATTTTCTTTAAAACTTCCAGTGTTGGAGCATGTGCCACTTCTGGAGGAAAGTTGTTCCACTGATTAATTATTCTGTCAGGAAATTTCTCCTCAGTTCTAAGTTGCTTCTCTCCTTGATTGGTTTCCACCCGTTGCTTCTTGTCCTACCCTCAGGTGCCTTGGAGAATAGCTTGACTCCCTCTTCTTTGTGGCAACCCCTGAGATATTGGAACACTGCTATCATGTAACCCTTAGTCCTTCTTTTCATTAAACTAGATATACCCAGTTCCTGCAACCGTTCTTCATATGTTTTAGTCTCCAGTCCCCTAATCATCTTTGTTTGCTCTTCTCTACACTCTTTCTAGAGTCTCCACATCTTTTCTACATCGTGGCAACCAAAACTGAATGCAGTATTCCAAGTGTGGCCTTCCAAGGCATTATAAAATGGTATTAACACTTCATGTGGTCTTGATTCTTTCCTTCTGTTTATGCAGCCTAGAACTCTGTTGGCTTTTTTGGCAGCTGCAGCACACTGCTGGCTCATATTTAAGTGATTGTCCACTAGGACTCCAAGATCCCTCTTACAGTCACCACTACTGAGCAGGGTTCCATATATACTGTACCTGTGCATTTTGTTGTTCTTGCCTAAATGTAGAACCTTACTTTTTTTAACCATTGAATTTCATTTTGTTAGATAATGCCCAATGTTCAACTCTCTCAAGGTCCTTCTGCATCTTAAGCCTGTCTTCTGGAGTGTTGGCTATTCCTGCTATCTTGGTGTTGTCTGCAAATTTGATGAGTTCCCCATCTATCCAGTCATCCAAATCATTGATGAATATGTTGAAGAGTACTGGGACTAAAACAGAGCCCTGGGGTACCCCACACTGATTTCAACTGTATATTTACTTTTAAAACTTCTGAATCAAAAATCAAACTCTTGTATTAGCAATAGCAATAGCAGTTAGACTTATATACCGCTTCATAGGGCTTTCAGCCCTCTCTAAGCAGTTTACAGAGTCAGCATATCGCCCCCAACAATCTGGGTCCTCATTTTACCCACCTCGGAAGGATGGAAGGCTGAGTGTATTGTATTGTATTGTATTGTAGCCTTATGTATGAAATTAGGTGTTGCAGAGAATTGTATCTTATAGATGAGTCTAAACGAAGAATGACAACTTGTCTACAGTTGGGAAGGAAGCATCTGAAATTTCCTGAGGCTTGAGATGTGCTTGGAATGATTCAGGCATTTGATTGCTATGTGGATCCAGATGTGGCATTTTGTAGCTGAGTCAGCAGCATGAATTTTAGCTGTGTAAGATATAGCTATTTGAGAGCTCTGTGGTAAAACATAACCCCAAATTTCTCCTTCTTTGTTGATTTCTGAGGACAGAAATCTCTTAACTCCTCCAGTTTCAGAGGTTTGCCAGTGCTGGATTTTGAAAGGCCTTCAGGAAGCTTCAAAAGGCTTAAAATCCAGTCCACATGCCATGTTTCCCACACCTCAACTTTTCCACGCAGAAATCTATTACCCAGCAATATTGTACTAACTCTTCCAAATTAAGTGAGGCACCTTTCATCACTAATTCATCTCTCATCAGCAAATTCTTCTCTACATTAATCAATCAGATAATTCAACCCCACATCCATAGCAAATAATTTAAAACCTGATATGTATGCTTGCAGGGATGCAGTGGCTCAGTGGCTAAGATGCTCAGCTTGTCAATCAGCAAGGTCGGCAGTTCAGTGGTTTGAATCCCCAGCGCTATGTAACAGAGTGAGCTCCCATTACTTGTCCCAGCTTCTGCCAATCTAGTAGTTTAAAAGCACATAAAAATGCAAGTAGAAAAATAGAGACAGTGGGAAGGTAACAGTGTTCCATACGCCTTCACATTTAGTCATGCTGGCCACATAACCATGGAAATATCTTTGGACAGTGTTGGCTCTTTGGCTTTGAAATGGAGATGAGCTTCATCCCCTAGAGTCGGGAACAATTAGCACATATGTGCAAGGGGATCCTTTACCTTTACCTATGTATGCCTGCACAGTACACTGACTATATTTGTAAATCTCATGGCTTCCTGTCTCTCTATTGATCAAATCATTAAAGGATGCTCTAAGTCTGAGTTATTTTTCCAATACTATCTTGTTGCTATGGGCTTTATTCATGGTTCAGCACCTGTTGCTATCCTAATAGCTTCTGGTTGCCTTCTCCAAGGTCAACTCACAATTAGTCAAATCTGAGGCTGCTTCACCCCAGCTAAAGAACTGGATGTGATTCAGAATGCAAAGTGTAAAGTTATTGAAAGAAGAACTCCTGAAAAGGTTTCCTATATTTGCCTGAGCAAGTCAAGTTCTCACTATCTTCCCTGCCTATATAACTGTGCAGGCAAGATTAAAAGTGGGACTTTTAATGATCAAGATTTAATTATTCATGCATTACTGAATGACTCTTGAAGCTTCTTGATGGTGTATGGGAAGTATGGTCTTTATCCTATGTACTCATAAAGACTTCCATTGATCTCCCCCCCCCCCACATTTCCATCCCCCAATGTTATTAAAGGTGCTCACTAAGAGCTTTCTATTACCATCTCTTTATGGGTACCTGATATGGATATATCAGAGATGGCCACTGCTGTCCTTTTCTTAAAGCTGTCTCAGACCATCTGTGGTTAACTATTACCTAATTATAATGAATGTTGTTTAATGAATGTTGTTAAAATGGCCATACAAAACCAATCTAAGATATTAAGTCTAAAATCCACATCTCAATTCAGAAATCACAAAGTAATGAGTAAACCATTACCATGTTCTTTAGTATTGTTCGCAACCAAAACAAACAATATAAAGGAAAATGATAAAAGTTGATACTCAAAACATGGCATAACCATTAACCAAGCTTTAATCAAGATGAAAATAGATCTATTATAAAAATATGGGAGGTAAGCAGTTACCACCAAAAGTCCTTTAAGAATTGCAAGAACTGTATCTTGCTTGGAAAATGTATATAAAGCACGTGTTTGATTACAGTACTAAATTTTACAATATTGAATGTATATTAATTTGAAAATTAATCTGCAGCAGATTTGATTAAATTTTAAATTACATAAGTGTTGCTGTTCTTCAGAAACATCTCAAGACAAAATGTATGAGGTGCAAATTCTCTGGAATCTTGCATTATGTCGGT